GGAACTAAAGTAATACTGAAAAAAATGTGGCAAAGCAATTAAGTTTTTGTCCTGAATAGAAAGTGTTATGTTTGGGGCAAATCGAACACAACACATCACTTTATACGAAGCATGGTGGTGGCTGCATCATGTTATGGATATGCTTGTCATCGGCAAGGATAAAAATAAACGAAATACAGCTATAGGCACAGGCAAAATCCTAGAGGAAAACCTGGTTCAGTCTGCTTTTCAACAGACACTGGGAGACGAACTCACCTTTCAGCAGGACAATCTACATTGGAGGGCAAATCTACACTGGAATTGCTTACCAAGACGACATTGAATGTTCCTGAGTGGCCTAGTTACAGTTTTAACTTAAAATCGGCTTGAAAATCTATGGCAAGACTTGAAAATGGCTGTCTAGCAACGATCAACAATCAACTTGACAGACTTTGAATAATTTTAAGAATAATGGGCAAATATTGTACAATCCAGGTGTGCAAAGCTCTTAGAGACTTACTCAAAATGATTCACAGCTCTAATCGCCATCAAAGGTGCTTCTACAAAGTATTCACTCAGGGGTGTGAATACTTATGTAAATTAGATATTTATGTATTTCATTTTCAATAAAAGCAAAAATTTCTATAAACATGTTCACTGTCATTATGGGGTATTGTGTGTAGATGGGTGAGATTTGTATTTTATTTAATTCGTTTTGAATTCAGGCTGTAACGCAACAAAATGTGGAATAAGTTAAGGGGTATGAATACTTTCTGAACGCACTGTATGTCACATGCAGATCTTAAGCATGGATTCTGCCCTCAATAGACAAGGTAGGCCTATTAGAAACAGAAGTCTACATGGGATTGATGAAAGCTTTATCATTGAGTTCATTACTCTGAGGTATTACCAGCAGTATCTTACAATCTAATCATAACATACGGTAGGTGACCGCACACTCCTGTCATTAATTTCACAGGACGACATATCCATTACATCTGTTCCATGGCAATAACACTTTCTGATTCTATAAAATAAAACGTATTAGTCCTACCATATTAAGTGAATGACTAGGCTAGGCCTAACAGTATGGTCCCAGACAGGCTCAATCAGCCTCCATTTTAAAACTGGAACTGTATATTTGTGTGATTTCTCAGAAAAGTGAAACCTCACAGATGGAGTGTGAAGGTTGCATTGGTAGATGTAAGGAATGTCACAGTGCGTTAGACTGACAAGGGTCACCCAGTTCACCAAGGAAGCTGAACCTTGGTGGTGATGCACTCTGGGCAGGTCACATGAGTAGAACCCTCAAGGCGGAAGGGAAGGAAACCATGTTAGGTGCTGTTCAACTTAGTGGTACGTTCTTGTAAGGAATAGATGTGGGGATCAATTATTTCCTGGCCTCACAGTTCTCGCTCTCTTGTAAATACTTACTGATATTACACACACACACACACAACTCAATAACCATATGGTGTACACACATGCACACACATTAGAATATCCTTGGTAGTATGGAGTATATACTCTTTCAATTCTTTCTCCTCCATTCCACCACAGTTCACCTTTTTTCCCTTCCCCCGCCATGACTATGCTACATCTACCTTAATGTATGGAATGTCTTGCCTCCAACCACTCAGCATGATAAAGCTTTGACTGTTCACTTTATGGGCATACACATTCAAGCCCCAAACACTCAGGCTTGGCACTTCCCAGAGAATCAATCTCTCTTCTTTCAAACACAAACACCCCCACACATCTGATTTCACCCTCTCTGCTGAGTGTGTTTCCCAGTACTCGTCCCTCCATCTCTCTCACACACACAGGGTCACAAACGTCCGTCTGTTTGCTGCTGATTCGGACAGAAAGCACCCTCTGTGCCCTCCTGACTCCCTCTACCCAGAAAACATGTGGCGGGAAGAGGGAAGCACCCTTCACCAACTGAACACCCATCCTGCCCTCTACTCCAACAGCTGGAGGGAGGAAAAAGCCTACTGAATAGGTTGACTTCAGTGTTGCTCGAGCGATTTAAAGAGATCAATATGTTTATGAAATAGGGTGGAAATTAAGTTATTTGTTGAGGTTTGTGGAGGGCTGAAAAAGGAGAGGTCTGTTGTACTCCTGAGTGGCGCAGTGGTCTAAGGCACTGCATCGCAGTGCTAACTGTGCCACTAGAGATCCTGGTTCGAATCCAGGCTCTGTCGCAGCCGGCCGCGACCGGGAGACTAATGGGCGGCGCACAATTGGCCCAGGGTAGGGGAGGGAATGGCTGGCAGGGATGTAGCTCAGTTGATAGAGCATGGCGTTTGCAATGCCAGGGTTGTGGGTTCGATTCCCACGGGGGGCCAGTATAAAAAAATATGTATTCACTAACTGTATGTCACTCTGGATAAGAGTGTCTGCTAAATGACTAAAATGTAGATGTTAAGAGTCAGGCCTAGCCCTGAGGTATGAGGCAAATGTAAATCAGAAAAACAATGCCTAATGCCAATGACCACGGGCGTATTCATTACGCCGATTCTGTTGCTAAACGTTTCTTTAAACAGAAGCCATAGGAACTAAACGGGGAGGGACCTACCTGAATTTGTCCAATAAAAACGATTGTTTTCTTTGCAAAATGCAACTGTTTACACTAATGATTACACCCCACATGTTCAAGTGTAGCATGTGCACATGCATGCACACAACCACACCAACAGAATGAAGAGCACACGCCAAAACTTTACATACAATGCCTTTTGTATTAAAAGTTATTCAATCCAGACAGGTGGGTGGTAAAAGGCTTGTCTGGGGTCAAAATTACAATTGAATCAGGATTTCACATTTCAGAAAGAAACTATTTCTAAAATAAAAAACAAACATGGCTTACTTTTTGCTGAACCCACAACATAAAGCTGTTTAGGTTCATACTCAGTGTAGTAGTACCAGTGTGGAAAAAAAATAGGCCAAACTTCACCCTGAAATAGCTGTTATTCCATCTACACCTCAACTTCCTCACTGAAAAAGACAAAGGGTCGTTCCATTTCATTTCAAATCACTTTTTGAACACCATGTCTTCACCACTGGAAAATATAAAACAGTTGAGTTTGATATAATTTAAAAGCTCACAAAACAGGGTTGTCAAACTATCTGATAATTTATTGAAAAGAGTAAAATAAATACAATTTTATTATCTTTTAACTTCAATTATCTGAAAACGCATCAACTTATGACTTTTTCATTTTTCGCATTTGTACTAGCATAGACCCGATTTTACATAATCTGATGTGTTTGTATTGTGCCTGTCATTGGTTGAGACACAGCATTCTCTTGAATACAGGGTGGGTGTCATGTTTTGGCTAAATGTACTAAAATGGGAATAACAGAAGTTTCAGCTTTCAAATGGTACCACAATGATGGTTGGAGGTCCACACATAAAAAAATGTTGACTTGAATGAGAAGATCAGTTGTTTAAAATTACACTGTCAATCTTCCATATGAAACCTATTGAAATCACAGAAATATAGATAATAGAATAGACATTCCCATTTAACTTGACATTCAACGGTGAGTGGACCGGCGGCCATTTTTGTGAAAGTAATTGGAAGTAAAAATGTCAATTTCCATGGTGTACCAGATAAATTGCACTGGTCTGAAGGGATAGGTCAATTCTATTAATTATATTTCTAAGATTGAAATGGCACCCAATCTGTATTCAAGAGTATGCCGTGTCTCAACTGATGGCAGGCACAACACATATACCTCGGATTATGTAAATTAGAGTTTACGCATTTTTAGATAATTGACTTTAAAAGGTTAAAAAATATATTAAATAGTTTGACAACCCTGTTTGTAAGCTTTTAAATTATATCAAACTAAAGCATTTATATTTTACAGTGATGAAGATATGTCTCATGGTATGTTGGGGTATGCTAAATTGGGCAACTTTGAGCACCTCTGTCTCCTGAATGTTTTGGCATTCAGGTCCAAAATGTAACTTTCTGACAACTTCTACCATGGGCAAATGTGTATGGAAAGTTTAGTTCAAATCAAAAAAGGAGTGTGGTCAAAAAGTGATTGAAATCAATCGGAACGACCCAGAAGTAACCCTCTTTCACTATGAGCCCAACTGAAATGAAAATGAAACCGTAAAGTACTGTTGTGATTGGAGGGCTCCTTGGTTGGCACATACAGACACAGGTGTATTTCTTAGGAAGGCACTTGACATGGGGTCCTGTTTCCCCCCCCATGTCACATCAGTAAGGTCCTTGTTTGTGCACATTGAAGAGTGAGACTGGCAGGGGAAGTTAAATCCAACGTCACCAAGTCTAGAACAAAAACACAAAAAAGCAATCCACAACACTCAATGGCCTGACAACACATCTTGGTAGGACTTTGTTTCAGCAGGTAATGTACTATTTCTTGATGTTTAGGCTATTTGTTATGTTTAGTCATTTTAATTGGATGCTCAGGTTTAGGCTAGTTCCAGTGCATATTCACTGACAGGAGTTTGGGGATTATTTGACACAGTAAAAATAAAAACATGAGCTTTTGCATGGGGTCCTTGAGCCCAGCAGAATCCATAAAAAGTGACCAATCCCTGTTCAGCAAAGGGAGAAATCATCTAATCCCTCTCCAGGCCAGAAGGACCCGCCCAGAAGACGTGAAAAAGTACAACTCAACAGTAATCAAACCCCACCAAAGTTCCATAACAAAAAAAAGGTGTCTCTTAGGTTTTACAATAAGACATTCCCAGTGAGGCACGTTTCCAGAGAAGTGTCACTTACAAAGCTGTGTGATATTTTTTTTTTTAAATCTCAAACATTCAAGTACTTTGTCATGTAAACACTTTTTAGGCTATTTCAATATCTATTGTTGTCATCGTCGATTGCGTGTGCAAATAGCTTTCCAATACTGACGGTCGCATTTTCAAAAAGAGGCCGTATAATTTTGTTATTACCAAGTTATCAAAACAGGCCTTGTTTTTTATGAGTTTTACGTAGCTAGATAAGCATCACAGTTGCAAACTTAAACATGTTTTCTTAGAAAAGAACACAAGAACAACAGCGACCTCCACTACTGGGTAAAGAGGAATAGTTCATCTGTCTCACGATTTCTGCGAACAGTTCGTCGACCAAGCCTTTATTTTTGGCAGAAGTTTCCATAAACGGGCAATTCCACTCCTGAGCCAGCGCCTTGCCTTCCCCGGAAGAGACCTCTCTCTCGCCTTCCAAGTCCACCTTATTTCCAACCAATACCATGGGCACTCGCTCGTATCTTTTCACTCGAATGATTTGATCCCTCAACGCCTTGATGTCTTGGAAGCTCTGCTGGTTGACCAGACTGTATACCAAAATAAATCCCTGCCCGTTTTTTATGTACAGGTCTCGCATGGAGGCGAACTGTTCGGTCCCCGCCGTGTCCAGTATCTCCAGAACAGATGGGGACGAGTCCACCTCGATCTCCTTTCGGTAAAAATCCTCTATTGTGGGGTCGTATTTCTCAATAAAGGATCCTGTCACAAACTGGACAGTCAATGCAGATTTGCCCACGCCGCCCGAGCCCAACACGACCACTTTATACTCCCTCATGGCTTCAGAAAACAGACAGCCCCTCTCCACGAATCCTCTACCCACCCGCTGGTCGCCCCGATGTTTTCAGACCGCAGAAGGGTGGGAGTTGTCAAATCCCTCGGCGGAAAAGCTTTCGAGGGTCGTCTCCGAAGGTCCTGGTAAGAAGCCGAAGAGAATGGCCGTTCCCGAACATTAATAATATACCGTGTAGCACATTTTCCGTTGTTTGTACTGTGCCACGGTGTTGGAAAGCGTGATCTCTTCTCTTTGCCTGGCGTTTCCTGCACACAGTTTCTCAGCGCAAGACAACTAACGTCACGAACCAAGGCTTAGTGCTGTGATTTCTTAAAGGGGCAGTCACCCAAAATATTAATCAACGCAAATATTAGTCACCTGGGGCATTTTTATTTTACCTTTATTTAACTAGGCAAGTCAGTTAAGAACAAATTCTTATTTACAATGACGGCCTACACCAGCCAAACCCGGACGCTGGGCCAATTGTGCGCCGCCCTATGGGACTCCCAGCCTGGAATCGAACCAGGGGGTCTGTAGTGAAGCCTCAAGCACTGAGATGCAGTGCCTTAGACCGCTGCGCCACTAGCTAGACATCTTATGACTTCATTTATAAACCGTGCTTACATACAAAATATACCCCAAAAATGTGCATGCGCCAGTTTTCACGCAAAAGTTGGCATTTATAAAAACTTGGTGAGAATGTGTTCACCACTCCGCAAACTTTAGACATTAGCTGTGTTCAAATACCCATACTGTATACTACATAGTTAATGAGTATATACTACATCCTATTAGTTCATTTTAGTATACTGTAAACCAGAGGTTCCCCAACTTTTTTCCTTAGTGACCAACCAACTGAGGTGTCTTTTTAAATCGCAACCCACCAAAAGGGTTGAGGTGAAAAAACATACAGACCAAAGAATAAGAAAAAAATGTAATCTTGGCAGTAGAGAGAAAATGTTGCAGTTTCAAAGCTAATCTCCTGCAATTCCACACATCCTGCCATGGAGCTGAGAGAATATGTTGCCGTTTTTAAGCTAATTTTCTTCAATTCTACTCACTTTGACATGGCTAATGCTGTGTTCTTATGCTCAAACATTATAACAAAATCAATGGGGGACTAATTATCTAGCTTTTATTTTGTTGATTGTATGTTCTCAAAGATATAGGCTATTTTTGAGAAATATATAGGTCCATTATATTTTTTACATACTTTCTATTTGGTTTTAGTCGTTTAAGTTTACACTGAAAGCATTTTTCTATCCTGAAAATGTTTTTCTTTTTTTTTTTGCATTGCACTGATAATGTCATCCCATAGTTTGGGAACCACTGCCGAGAGTAAACGAACGGAATCATTTCAGTTGAGTGTACTAGCTAGCGCTTCGCCTGTCTACCGGAAGTTGATGCTGTTGATATGCAACTTCTTGCTAGCTTGTTAGCATAGCTAACAAATTACTAGCTAGACATCTTATGACTTCATTAACAATGTCCATTGAGAATGCACAACGACTATACCACTTCACTTAGCTAAGAATGACGTGGATAATCAAGTCATTAAACGCTGAGTAGTTAGTTAGATAGCATATAGTTAATATACTGGCAAGTTCGATGTCTTAGTAGCCAACTAACGTTAGGACGGTAGCTAGCAAACATACCGGTACATACAAGCAACTGCTGTAATGATATGCTATGCGGTTTGTAATACTAACTATATCCATACTATGACAAAAAAGCATACTACATACTCAATTTACGTCACAAATATATGGTTAGTGCCGTTAGTATTGAGTATTCGAACACAGCGCATGTGTAGGCACATCCACTAGTGTTTGAAATATTGTATTGCAAGCTGGCAAATACAATTAGGTCTTTGATGAAAAGCTTATTCATAAAGAAAACGAAAACAGGAAAACATAATAACAAAAATGCAGCCATTTGCCGTTAGTGAGAAGAGCGATTTTTTTGAAAATAATTAGACATAGGAATCTTTTTCCTATTTATTTTATTTTCATAACCGTTGCAGAATACATTCCTCACCTTTTCTGTTATTGATGGGTTCATATTCCCGAAGTAGCGTAGTAAATAGATTGCTATATGTATTTAACGTTTTGCAATCCCATATGCAGCGCGGTTTATAATACACAGTCGAATTTAACAGGTTAACTTTTATTTTGAAATAGGCCTATGTATGCTACTGTAAGTACTGTAATTGCAACAACAACAAAAATGCGTAGCCTGCCCTAGATACTGTTTCAGAATTCGCGGGCAGTCCATCATATTTAGGTTGGGGGAAAAGTCGATGCAAAACATTTGTGAATTCAAACGTTGTGCTGACAGGTCCACAACAATTTGCCATTGTTTTCTCTTTCAGAAATGGCACAGTCTTTTGCCAGATACAGCATAAAAATGTAAAGCTGCAATTTGTCACTTTTCGTTGTTGTTTTTTATGTTCAAAAGCTCCAATAAGTCGCTAGTGGTCATCCAATGTTATGCAACAGTAACAATATTGCGCCTCTAGCCTGCCTGAGAACCACTGTATTCATTATCCCTGTCGGATTGAATTTTGTAGGGCGCACACTGAGTGACATGTTTTCTGTCAGTGAGGACACAATGTGATAGCTAGCTAGTTGAGCTCATGGCCAACGGCTAGAGGAGATAGCTACTTAAAAGATATGGCAGAAACGATGGGCAATAGAGCCCGGGCCAAGACGATAGTAAACCTCAGATTTGCGTTCACACAGTGGAGAGAACTAAGGGAGTTGAAGAGATTCAGATACTTAAAACGAGACATGACTAAACGGTTTGTTTGATCCGAACGGTCTAGTTTTAGAACGTCTCATTGGTTGGAGTATTCAAGATTCAACATGTCAACTTTAGCCACAGTCTTGAATCGAGAAGGATCCATTTAGCCATTCAAAGAACAGTTCACTAACATTCTGTGTTCAGCTAAGCAGCTAGTTAACTAGCCAAGAAGAGAGCTAGCTAGCTATTTTGCTGTACATAGGTTGCCTGGCTTGCTGTCATTTCTGACAAGTCAAAAACGGTACCCTGTTTCTGGTGCATGTATTTCATGACACTCGTTTGCTACAACAAGTGGCAAATCTGTAGCTGGAGACCTTAGCCATTTTGACCACTCCTACATGGTAAACAAATCAGAATTTGCCAGAGTATTCCGCTACCTGTACCAGCGCTGCAAGGACATGCGCTATGTGGTGGAAGGGTTTAAGAAGTGTGGCCTCTTCCCTTTTGACCCTTCAGCCATTGAAGGGTCCTGTTTAATGTTGTCTCGGTCCCTACCAGGTCCCACCACCGCCTCTCCTGGAACCAGCAGCACTGTGCCGTCCATCAGCACCTCCTCCCCAGCGACCACAGGAGGACCCTCAGCCCCTGCTCCAGTCCCAGTTCCTGCTCCAGTCCCAGCCCTAGCTCTAGAAGAGCACCCCCTAATAGAGGGGGGGCTGATAGCGAAGGACCTGGGGCACATCCTTACTGTCCTGAAGTATCGGCTAGACCGATACAGAAGACTCCCTGTGGTCGCCACATGCCTCAACGGGGAGGAATACACGCGCCAGTGGCAGGAGAGGGGTGAGAAGGAGAGGGCCGAGGCAGAGGAGAAAGAGCGTCGGGCAGCCCTCAGAACACAGAGGGCACAGGAGAGGTCTGCCATTGATGAGACCATTGATGCCATCGCCTCTGCTGGACCCCTGCTGGAACCACTCCTGACAGCTGCATCACCACTGCCAGTGCCTCCCAGTGTGCAACACCTGTAGGAGCCGCCGGAGTCTCCAGCTGCAGAAGAAGGCCACGTGCCTACTCTCCCGGCCACGCCATTGTCGGCCCCTCAACCCCACCATTACAAACACCAGCTCCTCCAAGCCATTGTCGGTGGTTTCGTCCACCACCACCACGATGCACACCACCCCCCTGTCTGTCACCACCAACGCAGCCTCCTCTGGACCAACTGCCTCCTCCGTCTCCCCTGGTCACACCTCCATAGCAGCCTCGTCTGGTGTCCGTGCCCCCTGCAATACAGCCACCTAAATTACGAAAAAATGACTGTTTTATCTGTTTTATAAAACTTTTTTTTCTCTCTTTACATATCTACAGTCCATAGCACCAGCCCTCAAGTCATGTCCACCTCCAAAACTTATTTTGAAACATGCTCTGTCTAACACTACCTTTTCTCAAACTGTAGCACAAAAAAGGAAGAGAAAAGCTCCTCTGGCCACCTCTGTCACGCCACCCATGGCACCACTCTCAAGTATTTCATAATCTGTTTTTCTCTCTCTGTTGTATAAACTACTATTGTTGTTTTAGAACTTATACATTTTACAAAACCATGTTAATCAATTTGATGATTATTATTTTTTAAATAAAAGAAGACATCCCCTGCTGTGCTCGCTGCGGGGAGCGTGATCCGTCTGCAAGCTCCCCTCAGGAGTGTAGGTCCGAGGTGCCATGGATGTGCTGTGACTTCTGCCAGCACTGGTTCCACTGCAGGTGTGTGCAGTGGGATCCAGAGCTGGCAGTGGAGCTGGATTTTTATTGTGATTTTTGTGACAATATAGGGATGGAGGTCGAGATTTAATTGTTTGTTTTGTTTGTTTTCATATGAAATTATTTATTAGTAAAAAAAAAAATACATGTCTAAAATATAATATATATATTTATTCAACCCATCTTGTGTATTTCTTCCTTTACTTTCCAAGTGCATCTCTGCAACACAAACTCCAACAGTGTTTTCATTGTTTATGTCAATGCACATTATTGAAATTAGTTTTATTTGATGTAAATTATTCATACTCATTTATATTTTAGTATTAAACTGTTATCTACTTTCTCAAAACATAAGATTAACCTGTAAAACAAATTATGAGACATTATTTGGTTACAACACTAAATATGTTGGTGAACAACCATTTTTTAAGAGTCCACTGGAGGGCGCACCGGGCTACGCAATGAAAAGTTTACAGGCAAATAAATAAGGCAAGCCACCTAGTCAA